CGAGGGCGCCCCCCCGCGCCGGCCACCTCCTCGCGAGGATCGCCAGGCGGGCCCCGACAGAGCTCCAGCACGGCGTCATGATCGAGGACGGCGCCCCACGTCTTCGCAGAGCCGCGCAGGCATCCTGGGCGACGCCGGCTTCAGCATCGGCACCAAGAGCATGCGGCGCGCCCAGCATGCTTGCCAATGCGCCCCCCGCCCCCGCGCAGCCCGGGCGGCCGCCCTGCGAGCAGCCGTGCAAGGCGCCCGCCCCGAGAGGTCCCAGGGGTGGATCGCTTCGCAGGGCCGCGCGGCACAGACGCTTGGGGAGGCGGTTGCGGCGACGGCCGGCTCCCATCAATGGCAACAGTTCCAGAGAGGGCACCTCCAGCCTGCGCCGCGTCGGTGAACGTCGACTGTCCAGATTGATCAGGAGGCGACTGGAGTCGCAGCTTCGAGTCCAACAGGAACCGGAACATGAGGACATCGTCTGAAAAGCAGCCCCGGCCCGCTCGAGTGACGGCGTCGAAGCTGAGGCCCTCGCGGACGGCCTCAGAGATCGCAGCGGAACAGCTTAGGCGCGGTGCCCCCTGACTCCTGCTGGCGCACTTTGCTGACAGGGGACGAGACAGCTCTCGACCGATACAGCTTAAACAGGGCCCAGAGGTCCCCAGCGACGTGAGAAGCGAGGCAGGAGGCAGGAGGCAGGATACCCCCTCGTTGAAGCCCTCGCGGATCAATCGAGCCTGCGGGTGCTCGATGGGGCCCAGCAAAGCTTACTTTGATTTGAACGTGTTTTTAAGCTTTGGTGTTTCGATGTGGTCGGCAATCGGTTTCAATAAAAACAAATGTTGTTGTTTATATTTGGATAGCAGGTAAAATGTAATGTTAAGTGCTCGGGACCTCCCCTCAAACTTAAGTGTCCGCCAAGAGGCACCGAGCTCTCCTCATCGCGTTCCCTTCCCCATCCTTCTCTACTTCCCATATCAACACATCATTCATTAACGTGGCGATGATGGCGATAATGCAGCGTCGAGTGCACTGCGCTTCCAAGTGCGATGCCGCATCGGCACCGCAAGCCTGCAATGCATGCGCGTCGCCCGAGGGGTCCTTTTCGAGGCCCCAGGCGATTGCATTACCCCCCCCCGCCCCCCCCAGCGCGTGCCCGAGCACACGCATGCGTGATAAGCAGTAGCATTGCATAGCATCTCACAAGATATCATAGCATTCAGGTTCAAGTCGCCATGGAGGAGGAACTTCCCCCCCCCCCCGGGTGCCATCATGGGCCCGTTATACATATGGTAATGGGATCCCTCAGGGGGGACCTAACACCCCCCGAACGCCTTAGGTTTGTACAATGGGATCGTACTGCGTGCAACAGGGGGCATTGGGTGAAGTTGGCGAGAGTTTATTTTCGCTTGGATTTCGACCCGAAGATCGACGCTGACATGTTAGTAAAGATGGTCCACGCCTACTGCAGCGATTGGGACAAGCAGAACAAAGGGGCGCAAACGTGGCGAGGAAGGTTCACGGGGGGAGGGGGGGGGGAAGGGTTGCCGCATCGCACGATTCCATTGGCTGCTTCGGCCATGCCCGCGCGCCCGCCTGCCGCAGTGATCAGCGGGTTCATTTCTCGCGAACTGCGGGGCGGGTCGTTTGTTTCACTTCCACGTGCATCAGAGACTTGTGCGCGATTGTGTTCTCTGCTTCGAATAGATGCCCCTTTGATCCCCAACGACAGCGGAGAGGGGGGGGGCTCAAGAGCTTTTGCCCGAGGCCCTCGGAGTCCTTTATCAGCGGAGGTAGCCTGGCATTGCAGACGCAGCTCGCGGACTGGGCAGCGAGAGTGATCATAGCCCAGCCGCCGCGTAACGTTTCGAGGACTGCATGACACGTTCCTTGTCAAAACGATGAAGCGGAGGCTGGAGGAAGGAAAGCAGGATTGAGAGGAGGAGGAGGAGGGAAGTGGAGGAGGATACCTATTTTCCCAAACCTATCTCGGCCGAAGCAGCCGATTAGCGGCGCAGTCAGCAACTGCCTGGCGCCGCGGCGGGCTCCGCCTCAGAGGCGCCGTGGGCGTCGGCGTCGGCGCCGGCGTCGTCGACCCGCGGGCCCAACGCAGAATCTGCGGCGTCATCGGGATCTTCCGCAATCCTCTGAAGAAGCTCGATCTGGATCAACATCGCCGTGATGTGGTCCATCTGGGCAGCTAGCCCCCTGATCAGCCTGGCCGCAACCGATAAGCCGAGGGCAGCAAAATGCGGAGCGGAGCAGCATAACGCAGATCACCATACCCAAGCAAGACATTCTTGGTAATGAAGAGCGTCTTCCGGTGCGCAGTCAACATCTGCCCCGTCATCTTGGCCATGGCACCAAACCCGCTCATGTGGCTGACCGTGTCCTTCGCCACCGCGTGCGCCTTGTCGACTTCCCGGTGGATCTTCATGGCTTGAGCCGCGTCCTCGTCGGAGGGCGTCGGGCCACCCGGCCCCCTCGGCGTCGATATCGGGCGGGAGGTGCGGGGCCCGCCGCGGGGCCCGACCACGTGGTATCGAACGCCATTTGCGCCGCGCACGATGCCCCAGTCATGGGGCGGCCCGTTCATTGGCGCCATGTAATTTAACACGAGTGGAGCCAGTTCAAATTGAGCCAGAAATTGGCTACGGAGGAGGAGAAGGGAGGATGAGAGCGGCGTGGCCGAAGCAGCCAATTGCCCGCCCACGCCCGAGTGGGGGTGGCCCGGGGCGCGTTGGAGCAGGGGGTGTCGATGATGAGGAGGGCCCGCTCAAAGCATGAGGAGGAGGGCCCTTTCAAGCTGAACCCATAATGGGTAATGTTTGGGTCTCCTTGTCGAACCTATAATGGGTCATTTTCGGGCCTCCATTCTGAGCCTATCATGGCTGAGCATATAACATGGGTCCTTCTGGGGCATCCGCGCTGAACTTAGCTTTTCGGGCCTCGGCGAAGCATCTCACTGAGGAGGAGGAGGGGGGGGGGGGGGCAGGAGGAGGGGGTGTGGACCACCAATGACATCTCGCATCGCAGGGGGGGGATGGAAGGGGCAGAAGGACACATGATGGAATGGGAAGTCGAGACGGAGGAACGAGAGAGCGAAAATGGAGGTTGCGATGGCGATGTTTTTGTTCAGTGCTACGGCCGAAGCAGCCGATGCGTTAATTCCCAACGCGCGTGCAAATTCCGCCGTGGGTCAGCCACGGCGCGGATTCCAAAAAGGGTCGATCAGCCCTACGCCGTGAGAGTTCTCCGGGAGCGGTATGAGCCTAGGCTCACCCCACCGCCATTTGTAGGTGGTTTGGCTCTGCGTAGATACCGTTCGCGTCATCAGCATCTGCGTCGGCGCCGCTGGCGTCGGCGGTGGCACCGTGGCGTCGGTCGGCGTCGTTGGCGTCGGCGTCGCTGTCGGCGGCGGCACCGCCATGTGGATGGCGGCGGTCGGCGTCGGCACCGCCACGTGGATGGTCGCGGCGTCAGTCGGCGTCGGACGTTTCGGGCACAGCCGCTCCCAGAGCCATATCGCAATCGCGCTCTGGACTGCGCCGCCGAAGAGGATGGCCATTGCCAAGGTGTAGATGATGCTGGCGCCGCCGTCGTCGGCCGCAATGTGGTTGGTCGCGGCGGCAATCGTTGGGCCCGGGCTAACCTGGGCTGGAACGGGCGGGCGAATGACGATGCAATGACAATGAGGAGCGTGTAGATCATGATTGGGCCAACCATTGGGGCCGCGATGAGTGTTTGAATGCTGGTGGCGATGCTTCAGGTTATCGCAGGGGCCGTCTCGGAGCCACGGGGGAGGGGCGCCCCCCCAACCAAGTCGGTTGTCGCTCAATTGTCAGAGGACTGGTGGAGCGCGCGCGCGTCGTGGAGGGAGGAGATGGCGGTTGAAAGGGAGGGCGTAGGAGGGACGGGGGATGCGGAGGATGAGGATGAGGAGGGGGAATTATGCTTTTTCCTTTGCGCTCCAGAGAGCCGCGGCCGAAGCAGCCACAGAAAACCCGCGATCCCACGACGAAGCACTAATTCCTATCTGAATCCTCGTCGGACTCCCGGGGGCGTCTTCTGCGTGTCATCGTCCGAAAGCGGCGTCGGATCCGACGTGTCAGAACAATCCAGCCCCTCATCGCGCGTACGTGCACGGCTCGGCGGCGAACGGCTGCGGTCCTCAATGGGCGGGTAGGCTGCGGCAGACGTGGCGACCCAGTCGGCGCCAGCTGCCACCGCGGAGCCGAAGGCCTTCGCCGCCCTGCGGTTTCGCCCTGGTCGAACTTCTCGCTGAACTCGCCCTGGCGCTTACCGTGGAGTTCGTCCCATTTGGCCTTCATCTCCTTCTTGAGCCCAGCGGTAAACTCCCATTCGGCCGCCCACCACATCTGCCGGGTGCGCTCGATCTTCTCGGCCAGCATGATCAGCGTGTCGCTGCGGCCGCCAGCGCCCGGACACTGGGCTGCGATCAGGGTCAGGTCGCTGAAGTCCTTGTGCACGTGATGCTGGAACGTGTCGTCGTCAATCAGGATGTGCGCCGCCTCCGCCAATGTGCGCATCTTCACATTTGCTTCAGCGAATCGCATGGATGACGCCGCCCTGGTCGAGGTCAACGTTATCGTCCGAACGGCCGCTGAGGAAAACCGACATTGCGTCTTGCATTTTTGTGTGGGGCTGGACAATCCGCCAATGAATGCTGATACTTTGGCAGCCTTGAACACAAGATGGCCACGGAACGTGACGACGCATACTCACTCATATTCAGACACACTCAAGTTCATAATTCACAGTCTGACCCATTCGACCTCAGACCGATTGGCATTGATGCCCAAGCATTTTTTCCACAGCATCACCGCAAGCCCGATACAGAACTGGACATGCAAACACACCTGATTCTCGTCAAGAACGAATCGACCGTGAATGTGTTCCGATGGTTATGAAAGGCAGGTTGTGCCACCTCTGGCGTCGAGACTAGTGCGAAGAGGTTGCCGGGCTCTTGCGCCTTCTTCAACGCTGGCCAGTTAAACCCGCCAAGCCTCCATTTGCAGCCTGTGGTGTGCCTGATTAAGTTCTGTACAAACTCGCAGAACGTACGTTGCGTGTCTCTGAACTCGGCGCCCAAGAAACGTTACTGTCTTCAAATGATACGTTGGCGGCATTTTGACCCCAGCGCCAAGACGGCTTGAAATTAAAAGCCCGGGGGTAACTTCACATCCCCTTTGGAACGCCGATGCAGCGATAATGAACGGGCCAGCGCGCCCTGGTGCCCGTGCAACAAAAACTTCAGCCTCGTGCATCCGCACTGATTTCAGGCGATGCGCGATGAGTGCGGCCGCCACCAGTGGCGACCTGCAAGGTATATCCACGAAAACAGGCTTCCCCCTGATAGCTTCTAGGAGCTTGGCCGTTGGCGCGCCCAGCGCGGCCAATCGCGCGCGCTCGGTCTTACGCGACCTGGCCAATTGATCAGCAAGTTGCTTCTTGTGTTTGGCGGCTGCGTCTTCGCAAACAGCATGCGTCACTTCCTGTGGTAGGAGGACGTTCTCCGAGTATGCAATGCACCGTTTAGTCTTTTGCTTGTTCTTCAAGAAGTCGAGCTCCTTCTGGTGCGTGGCACCCCGGTTCGAGCCTGGTCCGACCTCCCTGGTGGAATCGCCAGCCACTGTATCCGAAACAGCGAGCCTCGCAGCCTTGCGGCGCTGACGAATGAATTCGGCTTCGCCTTCCTTCATCACTGTTCGTGGTCTCTTAACCCCTTTGTCGATGCGCGGAAACTTCCTCACTACAGGACGCCCACAGGTCTCAAGCCAAATCCGCCGGGCACTGTCAATGACTTTGTTGAGGTCACGATTGGGCAAGTCCAGAGCGATCTTGAGAAACATGTCCTCGCTGCACGCGTCTGAGGAGAGTTGGCGACAGTTAAACTCGAGCGCAGCCAGGCTAAACTTCTGCTCCGCCCCCGACGTGCTGATTCCAAAGGCCACATATGCAACCAAAGCTGATCTCAGATCGTCGATGTCGTGCCGCAGCGCTAGTCTCTGCTGCCCTAGTTTCTGTATCACATATCTCCAAGCTTCCTTATTCGACAAGCCTCTCTGCTGTTGTTGGCGAGCCCTCGGGAACCCATGTTCCCACTGAACCTGCAGCCTAGTTGGATTGATGTCCGCGGCCTGGCAGAACAGGCGCCCGGCATGTCTCGCGGGCAACGTTGACCCTGACATGTGGCTGAACTCAACTTTCGGGGGCGGGCGCGACACGGGGGGGGGGGCGGCGGTCGTTGCGGGCAACGCGGCGATCCAATGCCCGAGCAATCCGCCGCAAATGCACATCCGCCCGGGGGTGCGTGATGGACAAGTCGAACACTTGGAATGCCTGTGGTCATGGCGCACACCCCACTGCTCTCGAGATCACCCCCTGGGGCCCCGCATGGGGCCCGATCGGAAACGAAAAACACCAGCAGCAACAAAACCCCGACAACTTCTCAACGTAACCCTGGTTACCTGGCTCATTTCGAAACTTGGAAACTCAGCTGCCAGCGCTGCGCGCGCCGGGACCACGTGAGACCTCATCCTCTCCATGCGCCTGTTGACAATGTCGCGGGGGACACCGCGCTCGAAACCTATGCTCCGAGAGTCGTCGCTGACGTGCCAAACCACGCGCTCGCTGAGGAGGTCCATCATGACCGAAGTGTAACCGAAAATAGTTAAGCACCGCTCGCTCTCACCAAACATTGCCTCGACCTTTCTGATGAACAGGAGCACTTCGGAATTGAGACAGGCGGCGTCAACGTCTTCATTGTCAAGCAGTCTCGTCAAGCACACCCCTTCGTCAGCCACGTCTGCCATCATCGCAAGCATTAAACATCGTTCGCTGTCTACCCATGCAAGCCACGCTTTGGCCCTGTCGGTGTTCTCATCCTTGGCCGGGCGGTTGGCCACGTACATCGCTGTCTTGATGCTCGCATGCATGAAGAGAGCAGTGCGGCCAAGAGGTTTTTGCCAATGTTCAAAACGATGCGATGCGGCTCGCATGTTCCTTGTCGCGGATGTAACCACGGAGCTCTGTGAAGACTTGACATACCCAGCGAACGCACGCGATGTCCCGGTGCTGTTCTGCAAGAGCTTGGCGACCGAACTGCGGCCTTGTGCCATCATCATCGCTACATCTCTCAAGTATGGGTCTGCGTTCCAGGGTCGCGAAAAGATGCGCCGCGAGGCGTGCGCTGAGTCGCGCAGCACGAACTGAAGGTTTGGCGTGAGTGCCCTTTCCGTCTGAGCAAGCGATTGGTTGCGCATCAGTTCACTCGCGAGAAGTTCATCTGCAGCTGAGTCGACGGTGATGCACATGACACTCTCCCGAACATGGGCCATCAAGCTCGGCATCAACGTGCTGGTTGCACGACAGAGTCTCGGTGAGTCACTGAACTTAGTGCACATTCGCTCTATGATTATGAAGGTAGCTTCCGTAATCTTAGTGGCACCAGTTCCGAAGTCTCTCTCCTGGCCCAAAATGCCACTGAACTCATCCAAATTCTGATTTACAGCTCGGTATCTCACAGCCAGCCGACCTTTTCGCTCATCCCGAAACAAAGATATCGCTCTAACTGACTTTAAAGCCTCTCTGTCATCAGCGCACACGGCCTCCTTCAAGCACCGCAGGATTCTCCGACGCGCAATCGTCCCATGGCCCAAACTTCCGCCTGCAACGATGTCATCGGCAACTTGTTTGAATTCGCCCTACTTCGGGCACATCACTGAGTACGCCGCATCATCAAGGTTTCCAGCTAGGAACGCTGCCACGGCAGCCTTGTGCTCGGCACACTGAGCGTGCTTCTGTAAACTGCAAACTTGCACGGCGCCGTTTGGTCTAACTTCGTACGCACCGAAAGGGCTCGTGGTGAAGCCAGCAGCCCGGCAGATTTTGCAACCCACGCCCAAGCCTTTCGCCCACTTGCTATCAAGCCACGTGCCCAACTTTGGCTGTGCATGGTCTATGGGGAACCTATTCGCCCATACTGGATGATTTCGTTTCCACTTGCCGCGGCCGTCGTGTGCAGCCCCCAACTCGAGGGCCACTACTTGCTCCAAGCAGACGTGCTGCGACGAGGAATTGAGCCCACATGGCGAGCGGCAGAGGACTTACTTGTTGTTCAGGGCCAACCCCCACCCCCACCACCACACCCGCCCCTTGATGGCAACCCGATGGGATCCATCGCCAGATCTGATTGTTCAATCACATTAGCGTTGATGCTCTCACTACACCTTGCACCTTGGAGGGGTCGAATTTCACATGTAAGCGAACGTCAGGCAGCAACCGACAGGTATACATAAGTTTTCAGAACGAATGTTGGCTAGAGATTGTGTTTTGCATTTCCCCCCCCCTCCTCCCCCTGCCCTTCTCAGTGGTAACCCGAGTGCCCGATCGCCAGGTCTGAACGTCCAATCGCACTCTGCACTTTGGAGGGCCAAACTTCACATGTAAACGAACGCCGGGCGGCAACCGACAGGCATGCATCGGTTTTCTGAACGAATGCTGGATAACGTGTGTGTGTGTGTGTGCGTGTGTGTGTGTGTTTCCCCACCCTCCTCCTGCAGGTCGGAGCTGATTCGGCTGACCGTGCAGCTGCGCGCGCGCAGCGCTCGGCCGAAACAGCCGAAACCACAAACAAAAACAAAGGCTTGCGCGGTGGTGGCCCGGGCGGATGCTTCACTCCACGCGGGAAAGGCACCTTCTTCTCGACCAAACTTGAGCTCCACAGGGCCTCCTCGAGAATTGCCCCAATCGTGTTCACGGAAACAGCGTTGCCGATGAGCTGGCCCGACTGGCGCTGGCTGATCTTCAGCTTCGTCCACGGGATATCAGTCAGCTCGGAACCCTGTAGCTTGATCAACTCAGTCGGGTTTGTGCGGCGCCCCCTCGTAGAAATCCAAGGCCCACCATCTCCGCCCCTTGACCTGGCGATGGTCTTGGCCTCGTCGATGCCGTAGGTTGCGAATTTAGGCGAAGCGTCGATGTCAACCAGGATGGGCGTGGAACGAGGGTCGCGCCCGTAGTCGAAGCACTCCTTGTAGGCCGTCTTGCGCGCATCCATCTGGCGCTGGACCGTAGGCAGACTGCCCGCCATGTCGGTGGGTTTCCACGCGTCCAAGATCGTGTTGATGCTGGGGCACGGCTTGGTGATTTCGGGCCGATTGAATGGATGTTTGATGGCGTCTGTCCTGATGGCCACCATGAACACCCGGCGACGATCTTGTGGAATGCCGTAGTCGCGTGAATCGAGCACGCTGTAGTTCACAGTGTAGCCGATGCTGATCAAGGCCTGGATGATGCCATCCAGCACGGGCTTGAGCCTTTTGTGGGTCAGCGTGAAAACGTTCTCGAAGATCGACACCCTGGGCTTTTTGTTTTTGATGTACTGCATGGCCTTCTTGGTAAGCTGGCCAGTCTGCTTTGGCCCATTGACTCCCTGACGAAGACCGTTCTGGCTTAAATCCTGGCACGGTGGCGTCCACGTGTAGACGTCAGTATCCTCTTCCTCTTCAGGGGTGCGCTCTGTTATGTCTGTGGAGAACTTGCCAGGATTGTGCACAGCCTTGATGACCTTCTGGCAGGGCTTGGCCGAGTCGCTGGCGAAGACGTTCGTGAACGGCACGCCCATGCGCCGCATTGCAACTGAAGTTGGGTCCAAGCCTGTAAAATCACTGCCAAGCTTGACTACTTTCGGGCGCCGTGGGCGGCGCACCTTAACCGTAGTTTTGGGCGGCGCCGTCGTGCCATCCCGGGCGAGCCCCATCGCTTGGTCGCGCCAGCCCGGGCGAGCCGCTCAGTGGTCCTAAATGGTATGTGCCGATGCAGCTATAGCTGCGGCCCATGGGGAAGGGGGGAGGTCGGGCCATGATTGACGAGGAGGAATGGGGGAAGGAGGCGCTAGCTCTGATGTTTGTGCCGCGGATTCGAGCGGGCGAGCGAGCGGCTGCGGATTCGAGCGAGCGAGCGAGCGGCTGCGAGCCTCGCCGCTGCTCGCCATCCAAGACCCCCCCCGCCTTCTGAGCGTGATTGCTGAGAGGGAACGCTAATTCCATTCTACAGTGCTCCTCGAGGAACGCTAACTCTACAGTGCTTCTCGGAGAACTCTAACCTTGCAGTGCTTCTCGGGGGCCGCTGACTCTACAGTGCCTCCCCCGTCATTTGTCCGACATTCTCAATGCTACATTGCTTCTGACAGTTTCACTGCCTCCTCGTCTTTACAATTACTCAATATGAATATACTCCCCCTCTTCCCCTGATGGCGCCCGGGCGATGGCCGCGCACCCTCCGCGCACTGTTTTTTACACAGGATGCCCGGGAAATCCCGGGAAACGACTCTCGCTGAGGCGCCGGCGTCAATTTTTTCCAAAATGCTGCTCTCGTTGGGGCGCCGGCCTCATTTCTGCTCCCGAATCCTTCCCTTCATGGCGTCCGGGCGATGGCCGCGCACCCTCCGCGCATTGTTTTTTTACACACAGGATGCCCGGGAAATCCCGGGAAACGACTCTCGCTGAGGCGCTGGCGTCATTTTTCCCCAAAATGCTGCTCTCGTTGAGGCGCCGGCTTCATTTCTGCTCCCGAATCGTTCCGAATCTTGTTCCCGCTGCAGCGTGGGCTTCATTTTCGGATCGGTGTTTGGCCTCCGTCGTTCAGGATGGCGTTCTCGCCCCAGCGCGGGCCTTTTTTCTCGCGCGCCCATCCGCCCGCCACCACCGCGCCGCACCGCCACCACCACCGCCGCCACCACCACCACCACACCATCACCACCACAACCACCACCAGCACCAGCACCAGCACCAACACCACCACCACCAGCACCACCACCACCACCAGCACCACCACCACCACCATCACCACCACCACCACCACCACCACTACCACCACCACCACCACCACCGACAACCACGCACACACGCACGCACGCACGCACGTGCACCACCACCCACTACGCACGCGCGCGCGGAGCCACAGGTCCGCTACGACACGCGTCCGCGGATAGAGAAAATCAGCGCCATGGTAAGGGATGGGAGGGAGGGGTAGGACGTCAGATATGACGCGAGCGCACCTAGCTTGGCCCCCCCCCCCCATCCCCCTGTGCCCCTTGCCTCGCCTGTCGGCCCGCTGCCATTTCACACCCAAATGTGCCATGCTGTTTAGTTGCGTACGTGGGCTGCGAGGAGCCAGTCCGAGGACGCCCCCGAGCTGCGAGAGGCCACTTCGAGGACGTCCCTGAGCTGCGAGAGGCGTGTTCGAGGACGTCCCCGAGCTTCGAGAGGCCATTTCGAGGACGTCCCCGAGCTGCGCGATGACCTCTCAGCAGCTCGGGGACGCCCTCGAACTGGCCTCTCGCAGCTCGGGGACGTCCTCGAAATGGCTTCTCGCAGCTCGGGGGCGCCCTCGAACTGGCCTCTCGCAGCTCGGGGGCGCCCTCTAACTGGCATCTCGCAGCTCGGGGGCGTCTTCGACATGGCCTCTCGCAGCTCGGGGGCGTCCTTGAAAACGCCCCCGAGCTGCGAGAAGTCTAACATACCTCTCCTCGACGTGGCCTCTCGCAGCTCGGGGACGTCCCCGATCTGCGAGAGGCGACCCCGGGGTGTGACAGACCTCTCCTCGAAGTGGCCTCTCGCAGCTCGGGGGCGCCCCGAGCTGCGAGACGCCACTTCGAGGACGTCCCCGAGCTGCGAGAGGCCAATTCGAGGCCGCCTCCGAGCTGCGAGAGGCCACTTCGAGGACGTCCCCGAGCTGCGAGAGGCCAATTCGAGGACGTCCCCGAGCTGCGAGAGGCCTTCGAAGTGACCTCTCGCAGCTCGGGGACGTCCTCGAAGTGGCCTCTCGCAGCTCGGGGACGTCTTCGAATTGGCTTCTCGCAGCTCGGGGACGTCCTCGAAGTGGCGTCTCGCAGCTCGGCGACGTCCTCGAAACGGCCTCTCGCCCCCGTCGGCTCCTCGGGAGCCCAGTCGAATCATGCTTGCATGGCTCGGGGTGGTCCTCGGGGGCCGCCCGACGTCTCAAGGTCGCCTCCAGAGCTGCGAGAGGAGAGGACTAACCGACTTCTCCACTCGCAGCTCAAGGACGTCCTTGAGCTGCGAGTGGTAGGGTTAGTCCTCTCACTTTAGAGAGGTCTGTGAGACATCATGCTCGCAGACCTCTCCAGAGTGAGAGGACTAACCCTACCACTCGCAGCTCAAGGTCGTCCTTGAGCTGCGAGTGGAGGGGTCTAGTAGTCCTCTCCTCTCGCAGCTCTGAAAGCGACACTGGATGTCGAACCCCAACCATGAATGCGATGCGCATGTGAATCCCTCGGGAGGTCGGCAAACTTTTAAGTCCCCAAGCGGCCCCAGCCCCTGGAGCCACGAACGCGGCTTCAAAACTGCCCCCAAGAGGCCTCGAAAGCCCTCCGAAGAGACCCCTCAATCCAGGCACGGGGGCGGAATGGGCCGAAGGCCATTAGATAATAACGACAACGCATGCCATTACGTACATAGTTGTTTTGGTTTTCACTCACAGCATCCGGGCGGCTTCTCCCCAGACGTGCAAGAGAGGCCGAATCAGCCAGGCGATCGCAGATCACCATGTTGGCGAAATGCATCCTACGAAAAAAACAATAAGGCGATGGATCCTCAATCGTCGGTCCTCCTTCTAATCACCTTACCCCTTCCACCGTCCACCTCATTCAACCACGCTGCACACCATGGTCCTCATCACCTATTGCAGCACGAAAAACACAGCTACAGCCGAACCAGCTGGCAACGCATGCCGCATCACGCAAAGGGATCCCAGGCGTTCTCAGGATCGGGATCACCAACAAGACCATCATCCTCAGGCTCAGGATTGTCATTCTCAGGCTCACCATCCCCGCCAGTGCCTGGCTCAGCCGTGGGAACCGCCACGGGCTTGCGCCGGGGGCGGCGCTTGAGGTTCGGCGGTGGCACTGGGGGCGGCGTCTCGGTGAGCCCTGCCGCCTTCGCGTACTGGGCGTTGTAGAGCTTGGAGCCCGTCTGGCACATCTCGGTCTTCATCTGCTCGACGAGCCTCGCGTAGATCATAGTCTTGTGCTCCTCGGTGAAAGCGATGCCGACGTACCCCACGCGGTCGAGCACCGCCTGCCAAGCGAATTTGGCGTCCAGCAGCGTCAAGTCCACGATGGCCTTAAAGAAAAACGTGTGTATGAGCTCGTCGTACCACGCGGGGGGGCATTCCGTGGTGCGTGACTGGCACTTGCGTGGAGTCCGTCTTGCGCTCGACCACGTCGCCCAGGCTCGCGCCTTTCGTCTTGCCGCCGACGGCGATGAGGTTCTTCTTGCCGTGGAGCGCCTTTTTGTCCGACCAACTCATGGTCCACTCATTTTCGGCCTCGGTCGCCTCGTTGCCCATGATTGTGTCGCCCGGCGTGCTTCCAGGATAGTGTTTCCGTGACCTCTCTGGCAGGGGGACTTTCGTATGTGAGAGCATGTGGGCGCACTCGGCCTGGTGAAGGCCACCTGTGCAGCTGCGCAACTTCTTGCGGCGGTTGGCGATGCCGGCCTCGGAGTAGACGATGTTGATGACAGAGGAGGTGAAGGTCAGGACCTCAGTTCCGTCCTGGTCGTCGGGGTCGTCCTCCTTATCTTCTTCGTCCTCATCATCATCGTCCTGCTTCTTCTTGTCCTTCGAAGTCCCCTCGCGCCACGGGGCAATTAGTTTATTGGAGTTGCCACTCCTGCCGCCGTCTAGCAGGATAGCCACTTCGCCAGATCGTAGACCAGGGGTGCCGCCAGCCGGGGCACGCGCGTTCAGCACGGTCCTGACCAGCCTGTGGTAGTTCGCGTCGCGCAGGGGGGCGACCCGCAGCTCCGGGCGAGGTAAGGGCTCGCCGCTCTGCTTGACGTCGAAGTGAAACAGCACGAGACCAGTCGGATCGCCCCTGATGCCCGCCAGAGTGGAATCGCGAATTGCGTTTTCCAGCCCAGCGGCTGTTTTCTTCTCGACGATGATGTCCACGTGCGTGTGGACATGCTTCTTGATGATCTTCTCCCAATGCTCTTGGTCCTGCTGCTCCATGCTGTGAAAGCCCTTCGACTCTGGAGTCGCGGTTGTCGTGCCAGTTGTCGGAGCTGGCGTAGCTGGGTCCACTGCAGGGGTCTCTCCTCTCGCCGCCGCTGCAGCGGCTCGCGTTTGGGCCAGAGTCGCGGCGATCTCGTCGATCTCGCGCTTGACGCTCTCGTGCTCCAAGATGTCAGCAACCTTTGCCTTCGACTTTACAGCGTCCCTGTAGCGGCCGTCATAGGAGCAAGTGTAGATACACTCTTCCGGAAAGGTGCATGCCGCCACCGAAGATGGGGGCCATCCGACCATCCACGTAGTGTCCACCGTGGGCTCGTCGGGGTAGCCTGTCACAGACGCGCGCGCGTTCGGAAAATCGGCGAACGCCTCCTGCATCTTTTTAACGTGCTCGATTGGCAGACCGATCCCTGGCAACCACGTCTGGAGCAACTCATCGCGCATGGCATGCTTCAGGTTGATGACCTCGATGTAGCTCTGCCTGTAGTCCTGCATCCTGCTGATCGTAAACTCCCCCGCGGTGATAGAGTCCTGGGGGGGGGGGGGCTACTCACAGGCAATGTGACAGGCCAAGGCCAACCCAAGACACGCAACCAACCAAAATTAATCCATCCTCTCCCCCGTAGCTCCGCTTCCCCTTGGCTGCCTCGGCCCTCAAGATCAAAATACTAATCTAACATGTTCACACCATGGTTTTCAACACCGAAACCCTATTCTGCTGAATCACCCCCCCTCCCGGGCATGGAATTCGACCCCCAGTCCATGCGGTAGAGATCCGTGAGGCCGCAAATGGCCCAGGTAATGCGAGATGTCGCCTGCGCACGGTCGACCAAGGCCTGCAACGCATCAATCGATTTGCTCCATGGGCTCTTCTCCATCAGGTGCTCGTCGCACCACTCGAGCCACTGGCGCGCCGTCTCGTTGCTGAGGGCCCTCCTGCGCACGGTGAGGGCGCTGTCGACGAAAGACGCGCTGGCCCCCTCCGTCCCCCTGGTGTACTTCATCTTCTCATGGTAGTACTTCGCGACTTGAGCGCTGCCCAACTCCCTGCCCAGGTCCATCTCTCTGGAAGCCTTGAAGCCAACGACGTCGTAGATCCACTGGCGGACGGACAATTGGGACACGATGCCCATCTCGATGGCTTCCTGTCGGAGGTTTTGGGCCCTCCAATACCGATCGTCCCTTGATGTCACCAGCTCGAACCTGAACGACGCCGTCATCGGCGTGTGGCGCCATTTCCCTAACGCGTCATCGCCAGCTTCTTGAATGATTGCATCCCTGATGCTGAGGATCACCGCGAAGGCGGGCTCCGGGGGCGACAAGCGTTGCAAGGCACCTCTCGCACCCATCACGCATTGCGCTGCTGAGTCCAACGCAATCACCGTCTCGAAGGGAATGTGCCTGGGCGGCTGCAGTGGCTCCAAGGCGAACCTCTGGAGCTCCTTGATCTGGCCTTTGTTGATGGGCACGCGGTGGTTGCACATCCACGCGAAGCTCTGCCACACAAAATTGAGGCCGCATTTATAGAAAGGCCAGGTCCATCTCTGTTCAGCACAGCGTTCATGTCAGCCTACTTGAATGGCGCCTGGGCGCCTCCATCCGACATGGTCTTCGGCTCCTGCTCAACGATGTCCTTGAACACCGGGTGCTCCGCGATCTTGCTTAACGCATCGTGGACCTCGGTGATCACGGTGCGAACCATGTTTTCGTTGCTAGATCGCTGTTCCATCTCGCCCGCGGCGGCCTCCGCCCCGGCGGCGCTGGTCTTATTCTGGATCTTCGGGCGCGTTCTCGGCTCGGGCTTCTCCTTCGTCGCCTGGCCGCGCTTTCCCATGGCGTCTCCCCTGGTGTCCACGGGAGTGGGGTCGTGAATTTAATGCGGTTTTGTTGCACCAGAAAATCAAACTGACCCGAATGGCTACGGACGCGTCGTCTCGTGGAGTTGTTATATGACACCGGGATCTTAACATATGATTAGAACAACGATGTGCGCCAGCTGCGTGGATGGATGGCGGACCCTCTGCAAGATGCGGCTCTCGCCTGGGGCTTCCTGACATTGGCAAAGACAAATACCTGGACCTCAACCAGTGCCAGCTCACCCTGGAGGGACGGCCGAGGGAGGGGGAAGCTCGCCAAAAACATGTTCTACCGCAAGTGCATCGGGGGGTGCACTTGACAAACCCACCCTCCCTCGCGCGATCCTTGGCGTTGGGGCTTGAATATAGCACTCTCCAGGCTGCCCCAATGAACACACGGGTAAAACTTATGTTGATTGCACAACGTTTTTACATTGGGCTACGCAAGCGACGGCCGCCAACAAGTGGTGGCACTCCCAAAGGCGCAAATGGCTGCACCGTCGCCCGCAAGCTCCCCGGGGCGTCCGAATCGGCCGGTACAGCCGTGCCGAAAACGCCGTGGCACTTCACTGCTCACCCTCGAGCGCGAAGTCAACCATGGTCCTGTCGACGACCAGCGAGTACCATTTGCGGTGAATGACGCGCTCGTTGAGCCTGAGCGCTGGGAACACCGCATCTCCCCCGTCGTTGTAGTGGATGTCGGCGGCCCTGAGGATGAGCTCGCCAATGTCCGTGAACCCGAACTCCTCGAGCGCCCTGCGTTTCAAGCGGCTCGCGTTGACGAATGGGCGACCTTGCGTGGGCCCCTCGAGGTTCGGCAACATCACCTTCTTCCACTCGTCGTTGTACCTCACCCACGTCTCGATCGGGTATGTTGACGGCCGGGTGATCAGGCTGAGTGTCGGAGCTGGCGTCGCCGTCGCCGCCGTCGCCACTGGTCTTCGCCGCTGGAGTGCCGTTGCCGTCGGTCTTGCGGACGTAGATCCACTGGATGAGGTTCACGAGTTGGTCGTCGCCAATGGGATCTCCATCAGGGGATTGCCCGTAGCACTTGTAGATCTTCAACTCAGACTCGGCGCCGAAGTATTCCGACATCTCTTTCGTGATCGTATTCTTGATCGTCGCACCCTGGGTCATGATGTCCAGCGTGCGGGGGTCGACCCGCACTGTAGTCGTCACTGGCAGCCATGTTCAGCTCCATGAAGTAGGCCCAGAACCTGCCCTTCGCGGCTGTGATGGTTGACTGCTGCGTCTCGTCCCTGAGCGCGTTCTCGACTGCGTCGCGCTGGGTCGGCAGGTCGAAGAGGATGCACGTGTGGCTCGTCATTGCCCTCCGTCGAATTGGTAGTAGTGGCCAGGTGGCCCCGTGTCGGATCTCTCTCTCTCTCTCTCTCTCTCTCTCTCTCTCTCTCTCTCTCTCTCTCTCTCTCTCTCTCTCTCTCTCTCTCTCTATGTCTCTCTCCTCTCTCTCTCTCTCTCTCTTCCTCTCTCTCTCGTCTCTCGGAGAGAGAAGAGAGAGAGAGAGAGAGAGAGAGAGAGAGAGAGAGAGAGAGAGAGAGAGAGAGAGAGAGAGAGAGAGAGAGAGAGAGAGAGAGAGAGAGATATCAAGCCGTTAATAAGTTATGAGCCAAGGTGGCAGCGGTTCCATTCACCCCATACCCCGCTGTCCATCCCGCGCCCGTTAATCACCCACATAGGCCCCTGCAAGGCGCCAACAGCCCCGAGAATGATTCCCAAGACGGCCCGAGATGCGCCGAGACAGCCCAGGAGGACCCAAGACGGCCCATGACGTTCTCACCAGGATGGCCCACAATGGTCCAAGACGGCGCACACTTCCCCCTCCTCCTCCTCCCCCGCATTCAATTGCCATAGTTGGGCTTAAGCAGCGCTGCTTCGGCGCACCCTTGGCGCGCCCCATGGACTGGGCCACGGCGGCCCACAGCATGCGGAGGCGCCGAAGCTCGGCATCGATGTGGGCCAAGTGTTGAGCAAGAAGGGTGTGTCAGCAGACGGTGTCGGGTTGGAATGCATGCCTCGTGCCACAAAAGGTGTACTTAACGATGTTAATTACACCTAGTGCTGGCACACAGGCTTGCAGCATTCGCAACCCCGAGGCGATGGCTGTTGGCAACCAATGTCAGACGGCGCCTACTCGTTCCTCGTGCTGTTCATGGCTAAATATGGAACCGACGCTGTTCACGTGATTTTTCTAACAAATACAGGGAAATGGACTTCCTGGCACCGAGGCAATGAGATCGAGTGCTACGTCGTGAGGATCCTCAGGCAGTGTGGCATCATGCACCTCGGCATGGAAGCTCACCAGATTTCCATCACGTCGAAGAAGAGCGGCTGGAATGGCAAAGGGATTCCTGCAAAGCGGGCCGGGATCACGCACATGCTTGACAACGATCCAGAGTGCCTGTTTTCCGTGCTCTTGGACCAGACGGGCCAGAACGCATACAAAACGATCACATCCTACGATCATGGCTCGCCTGGCGCGCTCTTCCAGTTCACCAAGCACGAGGAAACTGAACCGCCATGGTAGATGAAAGCTCTCCCGGAGGAGGCCATGACGGCCATGACGACCCACCTGCACAAGATCAGCAACTGGTTTGAGCTGGCCAACTACTTCGATCTGCCGTACAGGTACGAGCTTTGGCAGGCAATTCGGAAAGAGGGGCCACCTCACAAACAACCTGAGAAGATGTCTGCACAAGAAGTGATCGATATGTGCAATGGGTCTAAACTTATGTTCTATCAGCCCGAGGACGAAATGCCACAGACGGGTGACGCCACGGACGATGCTCGTGGTAGTCAGTGCTCCGCGGAGCCGTATCAACAACATCATCCCGCCACGGGCTACATGCACGACGAAGTGGAGGAGGCGGGCACCTGGGTCAATAATATGATTAATGATGAAGGCAAGCCGTGGTATTATTATCCACAGCAGCCCAACGACCATCATCAATATGACAACATGCCGTGGCAGTCCGGGGGCTACCCAGAAGATGCCGACATGTGGCAGCAGCCCGCAGGTCGGCCCGCGGAGGAGTACGCCGACGAGATTCCACAGGAGGAGGGCGTTGGCATTGGCTCGCCAGACACAGGATCCCCACGGCCAACGCTCGGCGGCGGCGGCAGCCCACATACCAGCCTGCCAGGAAGCATGCCAGGCAGCGCCTGCCAGGCAGCCTACGAGGAGCAGATCAAACAGCTAAACGCGACGGTTGCAGCACTCCGTAACGACGTGATGCAAGCGGTGGACGTTGCAACCGTGGCTGCACAAGCCGCACAATGTGCGGCGCACAATGCGGCCACGGCGCAGCACGCCCAGTTCAGCATGCCACAGCCGCATGTCTGCAGCGTGCCAGTGCAGCCGCAGTCACCACCAACCGCGCCTCCTGCTTGGGTTGAGTGGAAGCAGAGCAGCCGACAAGCGCCAGCCTGGCTAGAGAAGAAAGCGGCTCGTGCTGCACGGCGGCAGGCGACAGGCCACCGCAAGGAGCAACCGTGCCATCGCTGCCGATGTGCAAGTGGTGCGGTAAAAACCCACCCGGGCGCCATTGCATTTACGAGGCCTGTAGGTCCTGCTGCGACTCCTACAGGCAGGAACTGGGGGCCACGTCCAAGCTGTGCTGGCAGCATGACGCTGCGTAGATTTTCCAGCAGGTTTTTGTGAGCGGCTGCTTCGGCCGAACTTAATTCGCCATGCCTTGCCACAGGGGCCGGGCGTGCATCCCGGGAGGCGGCCGCTGGGTGTCATCATGGGCCCGCGGAGGCCTCGGCTGGCGCAAGGCGGCCGTTGTGATCATCGGTCCGCGGACGCCTCGGCTGGCCCAGCCTTGCACTGTGCAAAAGCGCCGTCTTCCTCTGCCTCCCCCATCCGAGTTCCAATCCCCCCCCCCTTCTTCCACCTCCTCGTCCTCATCATCATCGTTCGCCCAGCCGACCACCGTTGCCCAGAACCAGGATTGAACCACCCATTAATATCGTCACTACCCACGGGAACGTGTCGGGCATTTATCTACTTTCAGCGACCCTCCGACGATCAGCTGTTTCGGCTCGATGGTTTCGGCACCTCTGCTTCGGCACTGCACCGCTGAAGTCATGTACTCAGAGCTGATGCGGTCTATCGGGTCTGCCAGTAGCACTTGCAACCCTGCGGCTCCGAACCAGCTCATCTCATGTGATGACATCTCCGATGATTGCAAATACTGGCAGGACATTTCGCCCTCCGCAGGGCCAGCGGTGCTACTTGGCCAGGCGACGCTTCACCTGAACCGTGCGTCGTCCATGCTGCGCAAGCTCTCAGAGAAGCTTGAGCAGGACAAGGAGTTGCTGGCCTACCAAGCCAACCAACTGGCGGATCACAAGTCACTGCTGCAGATCCACCAGAACTGGCCGCACATTCTGGAGGGCGTGATCATCATGAAGTGGCGCGCGCAGATCATCGCCCACCTCGACTCCCAGATCAGGGCGGTGCGCACCTTCGCGGCGACCCGCATCACGATGCAGAGCTTGGTCGCGGGCCTTTCGCCGCAGATCATGGGGCCGTTCCAATCGAGCAGCGACGTGCTTGGTCTGAGCTACGGGGAGTACGCGCCAGTCGACCCATGCGAGTAAGCTTT